TCCTCAACTCCATGCACAAGTACCAACCTCGCTTCCACATTATACGCACATCCGACTACATGAGACTGGCTGTGTCTCCCAGGACCACAGTCGTCTTCGAAGAGACGCAATTTATTGCTGTCACGGCCTACCAGAATGAGCAGGTGTGTTAACTGTTAACTCTCTCTCACTCTCTCTGTGTCCCTCTCTCTCTTTCTCTCTGTCTCTCTCTCTGTCTGTCTCTCCGTCTGTCTCTCTCTCACTCTCTCTGTGTCCCTCTCTCTCTTTCTCTCTGTCTCTCTCTCTGTCTGTCTCTCTGTCTGTCTCTCTCTCACTCTCTCTGTGTCCCTCTCTCTCTTTCTATTTGTTTCTCTCTCTCTCTGTCTGTCTGTCTGTCTGTCTGTCTTTATCTCTCTCTCTCTCTCTCTCTCTCTCTCTCTCTCTCTAGGTATCTATCTCTCACTATATATATATATATATATATATATATATATATATATATATATATATATATATATATATATATATATATATATATATATATAGACACACAGAAACACACGTGTGCGTATTTGCCTTTCATGGTGTCCTTCGCTTTTCCTTCTTCATTCTCTCACCCTCCTCAATTCTCTCTTTTCTCTCTCTCTCTCTTTTCTATTCTCTCTTCCTTCTCCATTCTCTCTTCCTCCTTTATTATCTCTCCCTCCTCCATTCTCTCTCCCTGCTTCATTCTCTCTCCCTCCTGATTTTTCTCTCCCTCCTGCATTCGTTCTCCCTCCTCTATTCTCTCCCTTCTGGTCTGGTCTGGTAGTCTTAGTTTCAGCTTCATAGCAAACGGGTTGCCCCATCTTTGCTCCGCTCCTGTGCCAGCGAAAAACACTCAGAATGTCTATCACAGTCCCTTGTGGAAAGATTGACAGACTGCTGTCTCAGCATATCTAGCATACACTCGCATTAAAGCATAAGGTAGCCATCCGAAGTGCTAACACAAACAGTCCAACATTAGAAATGCAGTTCATCATTGATGATAGCAGAACTTGTCGTCAACAGATCAGCAGTTGTCCGCGTGATCAATTTTAATACGGGTCCCACAAGCATTGAACAACAGGCATCGCGCCATTTTCTGAATCTACAATTCACACCACGTTGGTCACAGTCGAAAAAAGACATTCCAAATGCAATCCGCAGCTCACAGGGTCACGCCATGCATTCAACTCAGAAGCTGGGCGACGAAACTATATCCAGTCTACAAATGGAGCAAAAATGCATCGGCCACCGTCCGGCAGTAGCAAAAAATTTGCCTCTGTTCCGAACGGCGCCGCTGTCTAGCGTCCATTTTAACCGGAAGTCATTTCTCTCCCTTCCTTCATACTATCTCCCTCCTCCATTCTCTCCCTCCTTTCTTCTCTCTCCATCCATTATTCTTCCTCCCTCCATCTTTGTCTGTTATTTTTGCATCCTCTTTATTCCTTTATCTCCTTCCATCTGTCTCACTCTCTTTCTCTCGCTCGCCTCCGTTATCTCTCTATCTTTTTGTTGAAATGAAAGAATAGATCCACTGTCTCTTAATAAGTATGTCGTAAAAGTCGACTAATGCTAATCTGCTGGCATCTGATTGTATCGTAACCTAATTGTAAACCAGAACACAACTTGCAGAAGGCGCGTCAGAGAGCAAATCTCGGGGGAGGGAGTGGGGATAAAAAGACAACAGATGACAAAAAAGGAACAACAACAATACATGCTAAAACTGTGAAACTGAGAGTAATCAAAACTAAAAACCTTAATCTTCTTCATCTGTCTGCCTAACCCCCCAAAGGAGCATAGGCCCTCAACCAACTCACGCCAAGTCGTTCTATCCTTGGCTATCGCATGCAGCCCTCTTTATGTCCTCCCCATTCTTTTAACTTCACTGTCTAGCTCCTTTCTCCATGTGTGTGTGTTTGTGAGTGTGTGTGTGTTTCATTTATTTCTATGGCCTTGTGGGTTCCAGTACAAAGACATGCTAGTTACATTGTTCTCACGTTAATCTTAGTAGTGATAAATCGATTTAACGATGACAGATTTAGAGGATTATTTTTACATTTCACATGTCCGCAGATTACTAAGCTAAAGATAGATAACAATCCCTTTGCCAAAGGTTTCCGTGAGAACGGCGGAGGTCGCAGCAATAAAACGTGAGTATCAGAAAGTGTGTTGTCTTTAATGTGTGTGTTTGTGTGTGTGTGTGTGTGTGTGTGTGTGGGAGAGAGAGAGAGAGAGAGAGATTGAGCAAGTGAGTGACTGAGTCAGTGTCTGAGTGAGAGAATGTGAGAAAGATAGTGACAGTGAATGAGTTAGTGCGTTAGAGAGAGAGAGAGAGAGAGAGAGAGAGAGAGAGAGAGAGAGAGAGAGAGAGAGAGAGAGAGAATGAAAGAGACAGTGCCTGGTGGAGTCAAAGAGTGAGAAATTGAGAGACAGTGAGTGAGTCAGTGCGTGCGTGCGCGTGTGTGTATGTATGCCTGTGTTACTCATTGTTTCCTATTCGGTTTTTTTTTCGGTTCTTACGGAAAGTTAAGGTTGTTCGTCCACCTCTGGACTTTAGTTTTGTGCCAGAACCCGTGTTTTGCGTGCTCATCCGTTTCACAGATCTGGGTTTCTCGTCTCTCATGCAGATGCATCCATACTTCGGGGAAAGCTCCCAGTTAGTCGACTGTTACGACATGCTTTGGAAAGGCACTGTTCCTTTTCTTTTTTCCCCAACAATGGAACACCGAAACCTACACTAAAACCCGCTGAACCAAGTCTGCAACTTCTTCGAGGTGATAACTGGGGGGGGGGGGGGGGGGGCATTACAACCAAACTTCTCACGGAAACAGTCCGAAGAGCTTCCTTGGGATATCTGCTTTATCAGGGAGCTGCGGTAGGGCCTGGAATTTTTTCACGTGGACTTAGACTTCTAGTAATTCCCCCTAGTCTCTGGGTAGTAGGATCGGACGCCCGCGTGCATTGTTGCTTACAGAAAAAATCCTTTGGCAGTTGGAAATTGAAAAGAGTAGCCTAACGGCGCTGCCCGAGCAAAATGTGGAGTTAAACACCTACCCAAAGTATTTGAGGATCATCGCCTGTGCTACAGAGTCTGTGCACTGTGCTGAATAAGAACGGAGCACTTATGGTTTACTACCCGTGTGCAATGATGTTGATCCGTTGTTCAAAAATCTAAAAAAAATTTGCTTAATCAGAACGACTGAATAAACATGACATTGTCCAATGTCGATTGTAGTGACACCAGTCATCAGTCAGTCAGGTGCTGCCTTCTTATTTAAGATTAGCTGCAGAAAACTCCAGCACATGCTGTCGATTATCATGGATATACACTCTCTGAAGGGTTAGCTCGCTGGGCTGACATGCCGGAGACCTGAGTTCGATCGTCATTGAGTTTGTGATAAAATAAAAATCCAAACTAGCGACTGCACTAGCTATGCGGCCTTAGGTCCTCTGCCTCCCCCCCCCCCACCCTTTCCACTCTAGCCCCCCCCCCCTCTCCCCCACCCCTACTTCAACCGCCCCGACCCCAAATAAACTAGACATTTACTGCCTATATTGATGGGCGTGAGGGGCGGGGTGGGGGAGGGAGCTAGAGTGGAAAGGGGGGGGGGGCGGGGGGTCTTTGAGTCTGTCTAGCATCAAAAATTGTAAATACAGGGAGTAAAAGCGGTACATTTTCAGAGACTGCTGTTTCTAAGTTATCCTCTCCCTTTCCCGGCTCGCTAGCGTAGTTGTCTAAACCGGACTGAGTGGTGACTGGGTGACGAACTCCTTGTGGTCCGGGTTCACACCCGGGGGTAGGCAGAAACAACCACATTTCTCCCAAATTTTAGGTATCTATCATGGAATCAAGGCCGAAGGGTTGCGATATCCATAATACCGAGCCTAAGGGTTAACAACACATGGCTTTTGGATACTAAAAAAAAAAGTTTTTTTAAATCCTCCCCCTTGTATCGCTGTCTGCCTCTTGTTAACCTGGCAACAACTTTTCTCTCCACCGTAGTTTTCATTAAAATGCTATGTATTTTAATACGGCTAACATATTTCACTTGCTATTGTGATAACATAATTGTTACACAATTACAACTAGTCCTCTTGGGTAGAGCTTATATAATCACAATGCCTTAAACATTTCACCTTGCTCTAAAACAGAAAGAAACCACCGACATCTATGATGGGCAGCTCCAGCTCATCTGTCACTCACGACGACCACATCTCATCAAACAGTGATGAGGAGGACGACGAGGACAACGTGGAGATCTGTGTGGATGACGACGATCACCACTCCGTCAGTGGATGTCCGAGTGATGTGGAGGAGGCAGGTGGTTACTGTGGTGGCAAAGGAGATACGACATCTTCTAATGGTAACCATCGTGTTTATGAAATTACCTGTATGTGTGTGAGCACTGTTGAGGGTCATGGTTGGGGTTGCGGGGGGGGGGGGGGGGTCGTGTTATGAGTAGAAGGAAGCTGGCACATGAGGTGACCACTGGAAAGATCCGGGAGAAAAGAGAGCAGAGGAAGACAACATGGGAAGATTTCTGACATCCTTCTATCAGCACACGAACTGGTACATGCGGTTAAAGATCACAGATTGTGGAGAGGCATGATCGCCCACGCAAGTCAACAAGGCAGTTGATGGTGATGGTGATAATGATAATGATGGTGATAGTGATGGTGATAGTGATGATGATGATGAAAATAATAATAACTATATGTGTAGCATAGAAATACACTAAGAACTACCCGCACATAAACAAGTACCTGAGACCGAAATTGCTATACATCCCATATCATAACTACCTACTACCTAGCGAAAACAAAAATACCCACAATTAAAGGTAATATGGAGTACATACCTTTCTAGAGTACTCTTGTTGAGTGATTAGCAAGACACGTTATATATATAAACAAAGAGAAAGTGAGTTGATCGGTATTCCTGTTAAGAAGCAGAAAGATAGAAGGACACCTCGACATTATAAAAATAACGAAGCTATAGTTATCCTGCCGGGTATCGATCCTGTCACCTCCAAATGGCGTGTGCGCCTTACTGTGGAAACAAGTGTACTAAGAACATGACCAACTAGGCATCTTTAACAATTAGGTTTTCATTGCCTATGTCTATTGTACAACTTGAGATCCACAACCATGGATCCCTGTGTATGTTCTATTATAGGGAAAACAAGAATAGACCCACTGCCTACACAAAAGCATGTCGTAAGAGTCGACTAATTGGGAGCTTTCTTCGAAGTCAGAGTGAATCTGCCTGAGAGGGAAGGAACCAGCAGTCTGCATACAAATGAGTCAGATCTGTAAAACAAATGCAGACCCAACACTCAGGTTCTGGAAGAGGACTGCGGTCCAGAAGTGGATGAACAACCAGAACTTCCCGCCAGAGTTTTACAGCTGATGAATGCGAAGAAGACGACGAAGAACACAACCATGGAATACGGACATAATTCATCTTAAACCATATAAATAGCACCGTAGGTTACAGAAATGTATATCAACGAAGCATATGTCGAATAAAAAACACAACAACAATTACAAACATATCAGACCGTAACGCTGTGTCTAGAATACAACAAACACTTCAGAAATAGACATAATTGGTCAGTTCCATTTGTATTTCACGTATTTTACATAAATAATCAGAGGGGAACAATTGTGGCCGTAGAAATGTATATAATAAAAACTCTATGCGACGCGAAGAAGTGGAGTAATTTACCACTATAAAGAATAATAATATCAACGTGTCCTGAGTTGGTCGGTTTAGAATCAATAACTCATCAACCGGGTGACCATTAAATAGATACCACACACGTCATTTCCTAACTGAAATGCTTCCATCAGGAAATAAATAATGACCTTACGATTGGTCATCTCATTAGGGGGAAAAGATTGGGGTATTTAATTATTTATCCAAGTGTGTTCCAGATCTATAAAGCGTGACATGTATTATTGCTTGGTAACTACATGTTGTGTTGCTTATTGTATTGTTTGAGAAACGATGTGTGTATTGTTTATTTTCTTACAGAGGCTGTCCACATTGATGAGGATGAAACTGCCACAGCAAGACCTTTTATGCTGAATGAAGATCAGGAAGCATCTGCTGCTAATGACGATGACACTGATGCTATCTTGGATGCAACGGCGCACGGAGCTCGTGGTGAGACTAATCACCGCGGGGAAAGTATTATTCCTACCTCCCTGCATGATGACAGTGAAAAGGACACAAAACATGAAGAAACTAAGTTGCTATCGCAAGCGAAGCCAGAGAAACCGGTACTTAAACACAGCGCCGAGAGTTTGATTGGCAAGACCACGCCCAATCCACATAGTAGCCCCGCCCATCAAGTCGACTGTGATTCTGTCCGTGTTAAAAGGGTTGATGAGGATGTGAATAGTTTACATAAAAACAAAAACTTGACAAGTAAGTGCAGACAATATGCGTTAGACAACGGCAATCTACCTATAACCCGTCAAGCTGGAGATAGTATTGACCAAAGAAATCAACGAGGGGACAAGCGCCAATCATCGGATGGCACATTTTCTTACCACGCCCCTAACAAGGCTTTAATTCACAATTCTAGAGTACCATTATATTCGCCCAACGGTTACCATGCTGATGCAGAATCGGACACTCCGTCCAAATACCACGGTGGTCAGTCTTCACACTCAGCTCGCCATCAACATCATCATCATCACCCACTGCTGCATCAGCATCGTGATGGGTCATTTTCTCGACAAGAGGACATCCTGAAGCAACAGTCGCACTATCATCATTTATTACGGACAGAATCCGAGAAAAGAGACTTATTTGAAAAAGAAAACAGATTTCTCCAAGAACAGAAATTGTTATGTAAAGACTCCCGAAGTCCGCCGAACGTGACGGTTTGCCAACGGTCTCCAATAGCCCACGCGTTGTTCCCCATGTGTCACCCAAACCTGTTCGACGCCACCGCATCGGCATTTCACCACCCAGTGACATCGCTGTATATCAACACGGTAACATCCCATTCTCACATCGTCTCCCACATCCCCTCGTCAACCATATCCTCGTTACCATCGACCCCTCCTCTGTCATCCTCTCCACCACACAGCTCCCCCAATGGATCATCGACAGCGCCTTCGCTCCCCCATCCCCATGCCTCCCAAACGTTTCCAACGTCGCACCCAGCAGCAGTTGCCAGGGCACTGGCTGCCTCTGCACTCCCTCTCTCCTATCACCTGGCATTCTCCCCGAGGCACACATCCATTGGCCAGATGTATCAAACCCGATCACCTCCCAGCAGATACCATCCTTACGCGCCAAATCCAGTCAGCCCAGGGATTCCCTCGTCTCCTGACGGTGGTCATTCTGGAACCAGTACCCCAAGTCCAGCCAGTTCTCCATTGCTCATTAAATCTCCGCCGGTCATAACCAAACCCACCCCAATTGCTCGGGATATCGGTCTTAATCTGACCACCACAGACAATAGGGTAGTGCCTGTCTAGAATGAAACCTGGGTTTTTAGACCATATTCAAAGCCATAATACATAGAAAAATTCAAATTGGAAGGAAACGTTGAAGGCAAGAAACAGACGGCGATACAAGAGGGATGATAACATCAAGAGATGGACAATCAACAGTCTGTGAAAAGCTACAGCCAGGGCGACAGTCAGAACATACTCAGATTTATTCATAAGAACAAACCTTCATTGTGGACACGGCACCAAGTATACTGGGTATAGGTTGCTTCCCGTCAGTAGAACTACCGCTACTTCTCGACCAGAAGACATTCTGAAGCAACAGTCACACCATTACCGCCGCTAAACATTATGTATGTTTGTACGTACCTACACTAAGGCTCATGCGGCTGGGTCTCATTACATAGATTAGTAGAAGATATCCGGGTCGGTCTCTGTTACGATTTCAGATAAGTTTAGAGGGACATGAATGATACAGCTATTGAAATTGATTCAAGGTGAGAAGTTTACGATAGATAGTGATGCAAGGAGGGGCAAATCAAAAACGGAAAATGGGCAGTATATAAAACAAATAAGTTTAAAAAATGGACGTCAAAGAATAAATTCGACACCAACAATCACCTTAACGTTCCCTTGCACTTCCCTGGAAGATTTTCTTAAATGAGTGCTGGTCTTTCTAGTCATGATCGTCGCCCTCGCCATGGACTGTGATTCTCAAGCCTCATTTGAACACATCGTAACAATATCTGCTGCAGTTAATCTGAGTTAAACCCCCCCCCCCCCCCCCTTTTCTAATAGTGCTCTGTTTCAGTGGCAACACCCAACAGATCACCCATTGTTGCTATCCAGGGCCAAGAGACCACCCATTGTTGCTCCTATCCAGTGCCAAGAGACCACCCCATTGTAGCTTCGTTTGTGTGCCAACGAAAATCACAGAGAATATCCGTCAATGTTCATTGTAAAACATCTCAGTCCGTGACACAAACTGACTGCTTCTGAAGCGCGAGGGAAAAAGCGAAGTCATTTAGCCAAGAAGAATATGTAAGTGTCTTTTGTAAAAGTCAGTGTATAAAGATAGTACTAGAAGAAACCATAATTGGCAAACACTAAATGGGTCAGCACGAGAAAATAAGCCAAGAACAGGCGATTGCATCACTGGAGGCGTACGTGGAATTAAAGAGAGCGTCACAAGACAATCATCACTGAAAATAAAGAAACAATAATAAACATACTTTGAACTTTAAACAATGAATCAACATCATGGCACACGGGTAGTAAGCTATAAGTGCTCCCTTCTTTTTCTAACTCAAGTCTGAGTCCGAAGAAGCTCAGGACAGTGCACCTGCGAGGATCCTAAAGTACTAGCAGAACTGAAGTGTACACCCCTTGGTGTAGCTGTGACTCGTGCTCTAATTTATTACTTTCCTTGGAGGTTGAACAGGGTATCCAGGTTTTATCCTGTTGGATTGCCATCCATGACATAACTCTTGAAGTCGCACAGATGGACAAATCTTCAAACAGCATCCTGAAAGGGGACAACATTTGACCGGACAAGGGACTCAACCACAAGATGATGATGATGATGATGATGATGATGCGGGGTTTTCCTTATGGACAATTAATTCAGTGATTCACGATGTTTATAACAAATGTTATTCTTCCTAATATAATATCCTTAAGGCAAAGTGAAATATGTACATAACATTTCATCGGCAACCTATCGATGTGGAGATGTATTCAAAATAAACAGTTCACAATAACCCAACTATATGTTTTCCCAGTGCTCTGGGAAAAAAAAAAAACGTTTGTTGTATCAATAATTGTGTTTTAGAAATAGTTTTAAATATACCAGATTCAGACTTGTTTAATGTGGATATTTGTACGCCATTTTTGCATGTTCTGCTTTCCCGTTTTGAAATTAGTACACTTTTGACGGCTACTGCATCCGCCATTTTGACAGTACACATATGGCAGCAATTTCCTCCGCCATTTTAAAATTGGACAGCTTTGGTTACAGTTTTTCCCTCTATTTTGATAATTGTATTTGTGTGGCTACAAATCCCTCCGCCATTTTAAAACGAGTAAATTTCGGCTACAATCTCTTTCACTTTATTTGGGAAATGTTACACCTTTGGCAACAATATTCCCTCAGCTATTATTCTGAAGGCGTGATGCTGACCACATCCCCCATCTTGTGCCGATTGGTCTATCAAATGTAGGTCTAGCCCTATATGCCCTATACGCCTAAAGGCGTGGAAAAGGGTCCTTTACTTTTATAATTCTGAAACAACTACGTTTGTGGGTTAAATTCCCTCTGCTGTTTTGAAACTAGTACACTTTTTGCAACAATATTTCCTCAGTTAGGTTGAGACAAGTAAGCTTGTGGCTAAACTTCCCTCTGCTGTTTTGAAAATAGTACACATTTGGCAACAATATTCCCTCAGCTATTAGTTTGAAACAATTACGTTTGTGGCTAAAATTCCCCCAGCTGTTTTGAAACTAGTACACTTTTGGTAGCAGTATTTTCCCCGCTAATTTGACGCTAGTACACTTTTGGCCTAATTATTTCATCCAGCAGTTTTAAATCAGTACACTTTTGGCCTAATTATTTCATCCGGCAGTTTTAAATAAGTTCACTTTTGGCTACAATATTCCATGTGCTGGTTTGCAACTAGCGGCCGCCGCCATATTAAGCCAAACATCGGACAATGCTATTAGTAAAAGTAATCAACATTGCCTGCAAATTATCTTCAGCTTCCGTACACAGATGTAAATGATGTACACTTTACATATTGAATGTAGATGTAAATTTTGTCCCCTTTACATATTGTGTGTAGATATAAATACTGTTCTTATTGTGTCATCATCAATACGTTCACTGTGAAAGATTGTTGCAACTTAAACAGATATAAACAAAGATAGTATGCATTAACGAAATAATTATTCGGGTATGTTTCATAAGTTACTGTCTATAATTGACATACTGCTGTATTGCCATACATGCGTTCTTGATTCACATTTTCAGCTGCTTCGTACATACAACTGGGTACAAAAATATGACCGTACATAGAACTGGGTACAAAAGTATGCCCGTACATACAACTAGGTACAAAAATATGACCGTACATAGAACTGGGTACAAAAGTATGCCCGTACATAGAACTGGGTACAAAAGTATGCCCGTACATAGAACTGAGTACAAAAATATGCCCGTACATAGAACTGAGTACCTAAGTATGCCCGTACATACAACTGGGTACAAAGGTATGCCTGTACATAGAACTGGGTACAAAGGTATTTAACACGCGTTACACATCAGCCCACAGTGGTCTCGTGTAGGCTGTGGCATCGTTCTACAAAAGTCGGTGGTAACAGCTCGCTGCTTTTCCCCCCAACAGTTTCCGGTCTTCCCCACTCCCCCTTTTTGGACCCATTTATGACAATTCTTCTTCTTGCTTCGCCCTCAAAAGTGCGATTGGCAAGTCCCTGTTTTGAGGGAACAGAATTAAAGAAAGCATGTCGTAAAAGTCGACTAATAAATTGTCATTCCTCTGAAGTTTGAGTGCATCTGAGGCGAGGAACCAAATGTCTCCATATAAATAATTCGCATCTTTAAAATGGGCGTGAATGCAGAACTCAAGTTCTAGAAAAATGGCTGAAGTCCAGTAGTTGGCAAACAACCAGAACTTCCCACTGTAAGTTACAGCTAAGGAAACAGAACATACCGCGAGCCGCTGTTTACTTACCACCAACTCAGCATAACATGAACACATAAACTGTCCATAAATGTAGATTTTTATGATGTGCTTTCAGGAGAATATTTATTATAAATTCAGTTACCTTTTTCATTGTATGTAAACTTTTGTGTACCTGACATGCAGAATGTATGCACTGTTGGTTTATGAACTGTTTAGACATTACTTAAATCCTTACCTACACTGAAAACTAGCTTGATTTAGTCATTACAGGTGCCCCAATTATGAACACTTTAGAGGTCTCACGAGGGTTGTCTGGGATTTATCATATAAAACCGAACGAAAATTAGATCAGCGAGCTTAACAGTATAGCAAACACAAAAGAAAAGTGAACGTTGCGGCTATAAAGTCTTCATCAGCACATGCATAAATCAAACCAAACCACACGAATACACAAGATCTCTCAACTAAGTATCCAGAAGCAGCCACATTGATGTCTTGCCAGTGGTCTGCTATTCGGATTGAAATTTCGAAATCTTATTGTCAGATCTTCAGGTAGCAGGGTAAAACAATAGGCAGACTGCGTCTGCGCCTACGCGTTACGAGCGCGCTTCATAATGCAGAGGTTTCTGGGTTCTATCTCAGAGGCGGGAGATTTGGCAGCAGGCCTCATTTCGTTGGTGTCAGCAGTGGGAGAGAGACTAAATGACGTTCAACCCCACCAGGACCGCACAACCAGCTATAAACGCCAGGTGACACAAAGTGCCACTATTCGGATGGGAATCATCCGGGTACAAGTCCCAGAAATCCTTTTCAACCGTTAGGTTATATTAGGGCCGCCACTGCAGCCGAGGTGGGAGCTTTAAAATACCCCACTCCCCCAACACACAAACACACACACACAGACACACAAACTGGGTGGCACACTGGAGTGAGGTTACTGGCAGGTAGCGAGAGTCGATTGTTTAGTTAGCACTGTCAAACTACTGATAGTAAAATCACAAACAACCAAATCTCGAAGAGGTCAAGCAGCGCTCTGAAGGTCATGGTTTCGTTTCACGTTGGCGCTGTTCAGTTCTCGAGTGCAATATTTACGGAGATCATTAGGGATCGTCACCGGCGCTACGGAGGTCGTGCTCTGTGCGACGCTCTCGGCAGGCGGCTAACTGTTCTGCGAAGAGAAACTGAGCTGGTGCAATGAAATCGATCGATCATCTTTACAAACAATCAAGACAGTGCTGGGGCTAGTTCTTTCATGTCAGGTAGACCAGTGGCTCTCAAACTTCTTAATGCTGCGACCCTTTAAGGCAGGGTCGACCCCAAAACCATTAT